ATTATATTGATGCTGTTCTTTAATTAAGAGGGGCAATTCTACTCGTTAATTTCGCTAGTTCATGTGAATTACCCTTGTGGAGACGTGTACTTAGCGAAGCAATCCAGAACACCTTGTGGAGACGTGTACTTTCCTGTCACCAAAGCAGCTCATATACTTTTGCCGCTTCACAGTTCCCCTTTGGTGAGACCTGTGAAGCGGCAAAAGTATATGAGCTGCTTTGGTGACAGGAAAGTACACGTCTCCACAAGGTGTTCTGGATTGCTTCGCTAAGTACCATTTGGCGCGCCCATCAAGCCAAACAGCGGTTAATTCTTCTCTGACCGTATTTCGCAAAAATGAGTAGTCTACTTCATTCCCATCACTACTATCACTGAGATAATCTCTGTGTAACCCGATATGGGTAGTCAAAACACTTTTCAATGATCAATTCTTCACTATTCACTTGTTAGTTGTGTCGTCAGATCACAATAGAACGGAAATATTAATTATTAGTTGTACAGATAGCCATGACACTATGCATAATGCGCTGTCAAATACACACACATTCTCATCAAATACATTACATTACGAATATTACATGGATGGCATCGATGTGCCTGAAAGAGGCTGCGCAAATCAATGGGTAGAGCGAGCGAAGTCCATCGACAATACAAAACACTCAACCACTTGCAAAGGCATTGTTCAATGGGTTGGATCGATGATATGCAGATATGAAGGTGACCCGGGTTCATAAACGTTTTCTGCTACAGCATGTTGAGTACGTTGACATGAATAGGACCGATTTTAAGCATTCTCAACATTCTTAAACTTTCCCGGATACTGAGGCGCTAGTCCTGCCCCCTACACTCGGAGCCGGTTTATACTCGGCGAACTGGCAGCCTGCTGACCGTCCGTTTGTCAAAATTGAGCTGATATTCTACCCACCTATGCCGAGCAATGCAGCTAAACGCCTGGCTGCAAGTATGCTATGTCGGAGGCGAATCAGGTACGGTTCACAAGGGACCCATGAAGTGGTGCTAGACCGTGACGAAAAAGAAATGGCTGGCCGACTCCGCCCATACGGACAGCGTGTACTGCGCCGTTAATGCAGGCATACTTATTTTCTAGTGTCAGATCCTTTGCTAAAGCAGAAAACGTTCACCCGGCTTGTTTATTTAAGGTAATCCAGCGACAGAGCCCACAACTAGAAAGCATTATCGAACCGTGTATAAAGAGCTATTGTCATTCAGTACTGCAAGGTCTATGCCTCGCTGGCGAATTCTCGATGAGGTCACGTTGCGGCGGGGCGATGTCGCTCGCGGCGGCGCGATGACCCATTCCTGTCGCTCTCAGTGCTACACTGACCGCGCGCGGCGGCGTCTCGCCGCAACGCGACTAGCCAAGGTCCGACAGTAACCCTGCTCAGAACAGTAGGTTTTGCTCATTTCCAATAGATCTACTCTCTAAAAACAAATCAACGATAATGTTTCCAGTGGGCACTGCCTTGGAAGAAAATTTGACAGCGCTACGCAACTTAAAGCTCGTCTGTAACACGCACAAGCATCGAAGCTGTCGAGACTTACACTATTAGCAAGTCATCATTTGATATACACATATTTTCAATAAAATTAGTGGTAAGTATAAAGGAAGCACAGGAGGAATCACAAGGTCCACCTCGTGCATACTATTTGTGGATATTGATTGGTAACTCTATGCGCAGCGCGCGGCAAAATTCGCGTAGTATGTACGTAGCTTATAGCGATTGCTCCTGTACTCTTTTCACAGTATATCAAAGAATTCGTCAAGATGCTAAGATGCAAGAACATTTCGCTATTGTGTCGTGCTTAAGGGAATAAAACTTTAAGACTATAAAACGAACTGTACCTATTTACGAGATATGAGAGAATTTTCATGAAGCAACGGTCTGATGGTGGGGGAGAGGCCCATTTGAAGGGAGGATATAAGTGAAAGGAACGTAGAAAATAGACAGCAGGAGACGTCGCGCACAACATGGCGATGGCGACGACGACGACGACGACAAGGCGTCATCAGAATCTGAACACCTTTTTCTCAACAGCAACAAGACGAGATAAACTGCGAACGAAATGAGCGGAGAAATGTCGAGGCGCCGTCGCCGACACGGTACTACCGTGCAAGTACGGCGTTCAGAATCGGTCGATGTGCCATTTTGACAACTTCGGCACCAACGTTCAATGGCAACCAGATTCGCCGCCGACCATATTCTCCCTGAAATACAGATGGTAATAAAAATAAGAGTGCTCTGCTAACCACCATGCATTCAAACCAGAGCTCACTCTCCCTCAAGTAAAATTCAAAGGATCTGGTAATTTGCCACTGAAGAGGGGAGATCGCACTTGGTTACAAGAAATTTTTTGACTGGTTGTTGACTTTTTCCGTTTATTGGGCTGCGTTCATACTTTGCGTCAGCGTACGCCAGCGTTTTGAGCGTTTCAGCGTAAGCCGGCGTTTTGAGCGTTATCACAGGCTTTTGAGCTTGAGAAGAACTGCCTGCGAATTCACTCAAAACGCCAGCGTATGCTCGGAACGCTAGATCGATACCTATACTTTCCTATGCGCTGGCGCTGTCGTACGCTTGAAACGCTAGCGTACGCTGACGCAAAGTATGAACGCAGCCTCGTTGGCAATGCCGCAAAACTACTACTCCTGATTGCGATTTAGCTTGGCGGGGACACAAAATGGCTTTAAGTGAAACTTGCACAGGAGTGGAATAAGCCCCTATTAAAAGCGAGCCCAACAATACTACCCAGAACGAACAATAAGGCTTCGAGGGGACACAGAAAATACCACTAACCTCTTGCCAAACGCTCAGTTCTTCTTCAACTTCCATAAGAAAAACTGTAGTACGATGCTTTCGATCGTCATCCTGAAAACGTAAAAATAAATGACGCCAGGATATGGCACCACTCAGAATAATTTAAAGAGTTGCACCAATAAATTACCTGGAAAAGGCCTATGACTTCGACCGCCCGCGCCTTCACGCCGGCTTCTTCTTCCAGCTCACGACGAGCTGCTTCCTCAGCACATTCGTTTTGCTCAACGCCACCTCCTGAACGGATATTTACTTAGTGCTTTGGCATGACTGCGATCAGTTACAAAGTACATGAATTTGTTAATGTGGCGCTGTTCGGCTTGGAAGGGGGACTTTGCACACTAGTTCCTTTTGATAGTACATGCTGAAAAGCAGGTCAGCTTTTGGTGAGACCTGTAAACTCCAGTGGAGTGTGGAACGGTAAGCCATTGGGTAACAGGAATTCACAAGTTTTCACTAGGTGGTTTGTACAGGCTTAGCTGAGTAAAATTCTGTGCCCCAACGTAGCCGAACAACGCTGGTTAACACCGTGTAAAAAAGGGGCCGCACTATATTTCTGCAACTTTACAGGGGAGTAGAATGGCTCCGTAAAACTCACCAGGAATAACCCATTTTCCACCTTCCTTTCCGCCGCTCACCAACAGTACCATCGCATCTTTGCCGCGTCCTAAACAAAAAACCTTGATATCAGTGAAAGCACTCAGAATAATTAAAGAGTTGCACCAATAAATTACCTGGAAAAGGCCTATGACTTCGACCGCCCGCGCCTTCACGCCGGCTTCTTCTTCCAGCTCACGACGAGCTGCTTCCTCAGCACATTCGTTTTGTTCAACGCCACCTCCTGAACGGATATTTACTTAGTGCTTTGGCATGACTGCGATCAGTTACAAAGTACATGAATTTGTTAATGTGGCGCTGTTCGGCTTGGAAGGGGGACTTTGCACACTAGTTCCTTTTGATAGTACATGCTGAAAAGCAGGTCAGCTTTTGGTGAGACCTGTAAACTCCAGTGGAGTGTGGAACGGTAAGCCATTGGGTAACAGGAATTCACAAGTTTTCACTAGGTGGTTTGTACAGGCTTAGCTGAGTAAAATTCTGTGCCCCAACGTAGCCGAACAACGCTGGTTAACACCGTGTAAAAAAGGGGCCGCACTATTTGTTATGATAACTGCTGTTTAACGCCGCAGTACGCGTTCCGAATGTTATCACAAGAATGCTGAGTTGTGGGCAAAAGTCGTGCCCCAGGCGGGAGTCGAACACCGTAAAACAGCTTCAAAAACATCTAAAGCCTTAGGCCTCGCGGTTTCATGCCGATATCCCACCGATTACGGCTGACCGGCTCACCAAAATAAACGTGTGAGTGCTGATAGGCTACGGCATAAAAGCCGTCAAGCTGAGAGGGTAAAAGCGGCCCTGGTGGCGTAACGGATAGCGCACTCGCCCGGAAAGCGTGAGGTGCGGGTTCGACTCCCGCCTGGGGCACGACTTTTGCCCACAACTCAGCATTCTTGTGATAACATTCGGAACGCACTATATTTCTGCACTTTACAAGGGGAGTAGCAATGGCTGCCGTAAAACTCACCCAAGGAATATACCCATGTGTTCCACGCTTGCCTTCCGCACGCTCACCAACAGTACCATCGCATCTTTGCCGCGTCCTAAACAAAAAAACCTTGATATCAGTGAACACAAAGATAAGCTTCTAGACTGTCCAAAAAAACTTGCTCTGGTCGCGCGATCCAAACGATCGGATCGCAAAGCATGAACGCGCCACAACAGAGTGCAATCGAAAGTTCGATTCTCAGATTGTAATGAATAGTTATGATAATATGGGAGCAAAAGATAAGGTTTCAGTCCGAGGTGGCTCCAGAACTCAGGATCACCCTGCCGCTTACTCTATTCCTTTGCTCTAGTTTGTCCACGATCCCTCCTAAACAGCTCCCACGAATCCCTAATGAGATTTCCCTCTCACCCGCTCTAACGAGCTTCTTCACTCGAGAAAAAAAACCTGAAAGACCAAACAACACCCAAGCCCTGGCGCTGGAAATCGGAACCGAACCAAACTAACAACCAAACCATAAGCCGGAGACAACCGGTGAAACAATTTGCCAAACCTGTTAACCCTCCTGAACATGACAATCCCTCCCCCCCCGTCCACCTTATGGAGGGTACTTGGGATAGCCTGTTCATGCACGACTTTAGAGAACGCTCTTGGAGGTTTACCAACTGCGTTAGTCTTCTCCGCGCTCCCCGTCCTGGTAGGCTAGGGTAGAATCAAGAAGATATCGTCCGCTATTATGGAGAAATTGCCATTCCCCTCTTACAATAACCATTTAGTTCGCCGTTTGCCATCTCTATTACACTCCACCAGACTACATGACGTCATTGAAAGTACTCCGAATAAAAACGACAGACAACTGATGCATTAAACCGAATTACTTCTCAGAAACTGAGTACTAGGAAGACTGAGTTCACTCGCTTTCAAACACTTTCTTACACATATCCATTAGAATAGGATGTATCAGTTTCGAAACAAAAATTGTCATTCGATCTCCTATTTCCCGCCCGACTATTTCGGTAGGTTATAGCTGTTCCAGTTGTTGAAAAGGATAGGCCACATTCACACCCAACGCTGGACAGGGGTCAGAA